GGGCCATTTCTCTACAAGCTGTTTGCAGTGTCTTTGAACCAGAGTCAGCCCCACTTGGCCTGTGGATGGTCACAGCAATAAAGATGCTGCACCTACATTCTCCTGTATAAATTTGTTCTGTCCTTTATCTCCCATTATCAGCCAGCTTGGACTCATCTCCCTCCATCTGTTTGGAGACAACACAAGTGATGACTGACATTAGTGTCAGTATGGTATACCATGTTCTAATTTTATTATTCTCTCCCATTTCTCCTTGCTGAATACAGCAATATCTGGGAATAAAATTCCTGTAGTCAGCTCTACTAAAACTGCAGATGGAATGTATGTATTCAGATGTGTATAGTCCATCTTGGATAGGACAAAATCAGCAAGGTGTTAAAACTTAATTTGAAGCAGTAAAAGATGACTTCCAACTGTGCATTTGTTGTGTTATGGGTGAGTTAGGCTAAAACAAAATACACTGGGTGGTGCATCCTCAGTTTGTTACAGCTGCTAGACGATTTTCCAGATGATTCATTTATTTTTTAACAAATTGAGGGAAGGAAAAGAGGAAAAATGTCTGGGAATCTGGGGCTTAGGTCTATTAATGTCATTTCCTTGTTAGAGCCAGAGAGGAATGTCTGTGTGTCACCTAACAGCCCAATTTGGGGTAGAAGTTGAAGAGAGCATGACTGCTGCTACTACACTGGGTCTGCTTTTCACAGAGTTTTCCTGGAGCTTTAACTATTTTATTGCTCTCAAGAGGTTGCCAGATGTAATTGTATGTTATAACTGATGGAATGTACCCTGCCCAATGACTTGGGGCTGCTCAGAGACAAGCGGGCAGGCGCTGTCCTTTCCCTGAGGCACAGGGAGGTGTCTGGGATGCACCGAGAGGAGAGGCTTGGCCCCAGGGCACCTGGAGGACTCTGGGATGTGGAGAGGGAGAAATCTCGTCCATTCAGCTCGGCTTTAGGTTGATTCCTGCCAGCCTCGGCAGGCGGATGCCCTGGTTTGGGACAGAGGTGCAGTGGAGTGAGCGGCCACTCGGTGGAGTCAGGAGACCTCGGAATGCCAGGGGGACACGCTGGCCTTGGCACCTGCAGCCCTGCTGCTGTCCCTGGAACACCGGCAGTATTCCTGTGATCCTGGGAATTCCCAGTGGAATCGGCTCTATGGAACCTCGACAGAGATTGTTTATTTTAGCTGTAACTTCGGGAGGACAGGTAGTTTGGTCATTGTGCAATATGTGTGCTGTAAGAAGAAACAAATAAGGCATTAATGTGTTTGAATTTAGTGCAGTTGCTCTCTAGCTGGGCTCATCTGACATCATGCTTAATTCGTAACCTGGCAAGAATGCTGTTGAAATCAAGCAAGAGCATCACTCTGTGTAAAATCAAACCAGTAAAACATTTACAAGGTGAGGTCCTATAGCATTAAGAAAATTTCAAAGGAAGATCCTTGCCTATAGAAACATTTCTCCAAAAATTTTTAAGTTTTGTTCTTGTTGTTTAACTTTTTATAATAGAAAAATAGATTAGAGGAAAGGCAGTAAAAAAAAAAAATCAAGTATCTTGCTTCTGTTCCAAACTGTTCCAAGCTAGTCTGAGAAAACTCCATTACCTCTTAAGTATTTTTAAGTTCTCAGGGGCAAGGCTGTTAATAAGCTGATTATTTCTGCCTGTTACCTGTTGTTTGTGATATTTAAAGAGAATGTCCAGTTGATAAAGTACATCTGTTATCTGTGGTTAGCCAGAGCAATCAATGGGAAACAGGATTTGATTCAAAATACAGTAAGACTATGAGAAGCCAAATATTCAAGGAGGGATGTATTTTGTGTACTATGAAGAGAAATTGTACTGTGAAGCTTAGGGGCTGGTCTCTGGATGTGGCTGGAACACAACCAGAATTATAGATAGGGCCATCAGCCCTGGGGAGTGCCCTCCTCAGACAGCGTTTCTGACACCAGATTACAATTTGCTATGTGAGTGGAACTGACATTGATGGAAAAGCAGCTGATTGTAAAGAAATCCTGCAAATGACAGCCATGGCCTGTGGTATGCAATGAAATATTTCCTCTTGAACTATTTATTCTTAGCATGCAAATATGGTAGCACCACCACTTGTCATATTTCAAGTTCTAGAAGGAAACCAGAGTGGCAGTGTGTCAAATATTTATTTCACATAGTTCATGAGTCAAATGGAGAAGTTGCCAATTATCTCTGATTAAACAGGTAGGTAGATATACCAAGAAGGGAAAATAGACCAGTGGTGCATGTCCTACCTAGAAATGGAGAATCAGGGATGAGCAAGGAGCAATGCCAGCTCCACCACTGGAAATAAAAAACAACCTCCTGGATTTAGTCCTGAAAACTGCACCTTGGCAGAGCAGCTGCCCAGCAAGTGGGTGGCAAGTGTTTGCTTCACTGTCCTGATTTCAGTCCCCATGGGACACCCCCAGCTTTAGGATCACAGACCCTTACTGACAGCATCTCTCATCCCAATTCTCCCATGTTCACTGCTATCAGATCATCTCCCAGCTGTCAGATATTTGCTCCACATGTTCAGCTGTCTGCAATGACAGCTTCTACAACCTTTCCAGATCTCTTATCAGCCTCATTCCAGTGCTTGCTGTCACTCAGGCTGTCTGTGGCAGTCTTTGGACTTCAGCACTAATTCCCCAAACCACAGTGTCTAAACCCAAATCTTTATCCCCTGAATCCACCCATTCCAAGTTAATGCAAGATTGACACAGATTTTAATGATGACAGTTTTGATGTAAATCCCTGTTGCCCCTTACTTGGGTATCTAGATCAAGTTCCTTCGTCTTCCAGCAGAAGGTAAAGGAGAGTCAGTGGAAATTAACTGGATTTCATGAAATTGAGCACAACCCCTCTGAGGTGTGGGAACTCTTCCTCTGGTCATGACAGACAGGAATATTCCTTTTTTAAAATTTTTTCCTACCACAATATTTATTGTGACTCCACTTCCCAGTCTGGGCACAGCTGCCCACCTGCACACGGAGAGGGGAGTCAGAGCAAGGAGTCACTGAGACAAGCTCAGCAAACGAGGTGGGACTGTGACACTGATGTGCTCTGAGCCTTTGAAGAGGTTGGACTGACTTCAGAGCAGTTAGACTAAGGAACTGATTCCTGGCATCTTCCCACAACTCCAAGGGCTACCAGCTCACACATTTTGAATGTGTCCCCAAGGGTGTGCTGAGCTCAATCCCCATATAACCTGAAGAGTTCAAGGGTCTCAAGGTAAAAGTTAAACATCCCCACATCTCAGGAATCCTGCTCTAACTAGACAGCTCCAGAGAAGATTGCTGATCAAATATTCTGCTTCCCTTTTTCCTTTCACATCTCCTCATACGTCTTCAGAAATTCTTTGCTTCCCAAGGTTCACATCTGATCTCTGCACTTTGATTTATTTTTTTTTCCCCAGACTGGAAAGACCATTTAGTACATCAGTGAGGGAAAGGAGAACTCTTCTGTGATTTTTTTTTTTTTTTTTTTTTTTTTTTGTAAAAAATAAAGGAAGATCAAAGTGGCAGAGGCTCTGGAACCAGCTCCTTATCTCTCTGAGGGTGGATATGTGGGGAATTGTATTGCTGTCACTGTGTTGTTGATTGACAACTGACTTGCAGGCTACAGGGCTGTCAAGCCAGCTTCTTTCCAAACCTTGAATTTGCACATAAAAGTGATGAGAGACTCATGCTCAAAGAAATAAAACTTCCTGAGAACACACTGGTTTCTACAAAAGAGATAAATTTGAGCAGATTGCTCTAATCGTGGAATTTTCAGGGTTGTTAAGGGCCATATGGACCTCTCCTACTGCAAGAAGCAAATGAATGGATCCTGTCTCGATTCAAAACCTGCTGCACTTACATGGTCATTTCAGTTGGACAGCTTTATCAATCACCTGCAGGACGTCACTCGGTGATTGATGGTCACCTGCACTCAGCATCTTCAGCAGGAAAGGAGTGCTGGCAGAGGCGCTGAGTACCTGAGCCTGATCTTCTGAGCTCCTTCCTGCCCTAGAGCTGCACTCATCGTGCCTGGTCTGAGTGCAGGAACCAGAGCCATCCCTTCTCCCCTCTGGCAGCTCACAGCTGTGGGCTTCAAAAGCAGCCCAAAACACTCTGAGAGAAGGAAAAGGGGCAGAGCAGAGAGATCAAATTAAAACCCAGCCATGGAGCACAGCAGTTGCAGGCGGCTTTAATGAGGAATCCTGCAAAGACAGGGACCCCCCTTCGTTCCGCTCTGCCTGATTAAAGCGGGGGTGGGCAGTGGCAGTGCCCGGCCAAGCGGGGATCCCTCCCCGGCTCTGCCTGCTCGCTTGAGCGCGGGGAGCTGCGCTTCTCCTGCCCTGCCTTAATTGCCCCTTAACTCTCCATACTCGGCTTCTCCCCTCTACCCTGGAACTATTCAGACCAGGCTTTTTCTAAGCAAAAATATTGCAGTGTGACAGTTTTATGTGGGGTGTCGGACTGAGGCATGGAGCAGGGAAGGGTCCGTGCGCTGCCGCAGGGCCCGGGGGATGCCAGGCCAGCTGCGTCCCGGGCTGCTGCTGCTGCTGTCCTGCTGTGCACCCTGCCCCGCTCCCTGCCCGTTCTCCGCTCCTCGGGCGGCTTCCCTGCCATCGCCGCTGTTCCCACATCCCTTCCCGCTGTCCTCTTGGTCCCCGCTGGCCCCCCGCTCTCCGTGTCCCCGGTCCCGCTGTCCCCCGCTCTCTGTGTCCCCCTGGTCCCGCTGTCCCCCTGGTCCCGCTGTCCCCCCGCTCTCCGTGTCCCCGGTCCCGCTGTCCCCCCGGTCCCGCTGTCCCCCCGCTCTCCGTGTCCCCGGTCCCGCTGTCCCCCCGGTCCCGCTGTCCCCCCGCTCTCCGTGTCCCCGGTCCCGCTGTCCCCTCGGTCTCCGTCTCCCCGTCCCGCCCGGCCCCGCCGGGGCCTCCCTGCTGCCCGCGGCGCCCCCTGGCGGCGGCCGCGCCTCCCTCAGCGCCATCCTCCCGCTCTGCCCTATTGTTCTCCCGCCCGTCGCTCGCTCCCTCCCTCCGCCGGGGCTCGCGTCCTCCCTGCGCTCTCCTCCATCCCTCCCTCCATCCCTTCCTCCTCCTTCTCGCCGTCGCTCCCGCCCCGCTCCCCGGAGCTGATGTCACGCACCCGCTGAAGGCGCGGGCGATCATGGCTGCTGCGGCCGCGGCCGTGCCGCCGGCCTCCAGTTAATGCCCGCGATGGAGCCGGCCAGCCTGCTGCGGTTCCTGCGGAAGCTCAAGGAGGTTTTCGATGTGTGCGATGAGGATGCGGACGGCTTCATTCGCGTGGAGCACTTCGTGGCCCTGGGGCTGCAGTTCGGCCAGGGGGATGAGGTGAGTGCGGCGACTCCCGGCCCCCCGCGCAACTTTCACCTGCTGTGTGTGGCCAGACCCCGCCCGGGCCGCCCGTCACTCGCCTGCCCTCAGAGCGCTCCCCGTCCCTTCGGGAGCCCCAGGTTCGTGCCTCGGGGCAGCCCGGTCCCGGTCCCGCTCCTTTCGGGGTGCCTCGGGTTCCCTCCGTTGCTCAGGGGATGCCAGAGCCTCCCCTTGGCGGCCTGGAGCCCTCAGGGCCATCAGCCGCCTTCCCCCTTTCCCGTGGAGCCCTCCCCAAAACCAGCCCGGCTCCCTCTTTCCCCAGGAGCATCTCCCATCCCTCGGGGCAGCCTTGGACTCCTCGGGTACAGGGGCCGCTCGCGGCTCCTTTCGAGGGCTGATTTTATTCCGGGTTTTGTCCGTCCTGGCTGGGCTGAGCTCGGTGGGGCACTGGGAGCGGAGCCGGTGCGGTGCCGGCAGTGTCTGGGTAGTCAGGGAAGCACCTGTGCAGGAACCCCAAACCGCCCGGGCATGAGGGCTCCATTCATCCCCGCTCCCCCCAGCCCTTCATCCCCGCTCCCCCCAGCCCTTCATCCCCGCTCCCCCCAGCTCTTCATCCCTGCCTGCCCCCAGCCCTTCATCCCTGCTCCCCCCAGCTCCTCATCCCCGCTCTCCCCAGCTCCTCATCCCCGCTCTCCCCAGCCCTTCATCCCCGCTCCCCCCAGCTCCTCATCCCTGCTCCCCCCAGCCCTTCGGTGACACAGCGTAAATCTGGAGTCGCGCCACCGGTCTCGGCGGAGCGTTGCGTCAGTGGGGCCGGTGTAAATCGTGACATCAGTGGAGATGGGAGTGGGATTCGGGCCAGAGGCGGTAAGGACAACGCCGTGCGCTGGATGGAAACAGTTCCCTTCAGTGATTCAATCAAGGGCTGCAGCTCCAGCGAAATGAACCAGCAGGAAACGCTTTCCTAGCAGAGCTCTTGGGATGTTGCACTTTATTGTTCAATTTCATCCTCTTGGGATGTTGCACTTTACTGTTCAATGCTTCACGATGCACCCCAGCAACTTTGGGTGCCCGGTAGGAGGAGTGAAGTTGGGACTATGACGAGGTTTGGAAAACCAGTGTCAAACAACCTTTTAGAGTGCAATAAAACAAATTAATGTAAGGAGCTAATAAAACAGTGATTTATAAAGGGATGCCAAAGAGGAAGCAAAGCCAGAGTGAATTCAAGTAATTGTTGGAGCCAATTGTGTATTTCTAGCTTGCCACTTGTAATGGAACACAGCTTGTGAATTAAATCAGGAAATCAGGAGACAGAAGGCTTATTACTTACAGATAGTCACAGGTCTTAAACATTTTCTTAATGAGAAGCTGCAGTTTGTGGTTTTAACAAGCAAAATAAGGAGAAATGAGTAATTGTAACAAGTTTTATTGATTTTGGGTTTATTTGTCTCTTGTATAATTTTATATAAACTAATAGAAGTATTTTAAAATCCTTATTGCCAGATAAACTGCATCCAAATTGCTTTTTGTACTGCTGTGTTTATTTGGAGGCAGATCAGGGGCTTTCTTGTGCAGCACTGAGGAAGGCTGACAAAAATTCCACTGGCTGTTCTGCAGCAGGATGACACTGAGGTCACAACAATTCTTTTCGGTTTTAGGAATCTTTCAGGTTGCAAGAGTGGAGTGGGTTCTGTAAGATGCAACAGAGGGTTTAGGTGATGATCTCATAAGCTTAGAGTGAATTGGAGTATATTAGTAGAAAAATATTTAAATGGAGAGAAAGAGAAAACTGGAAATCCCAGTCAAGACAGGGCTAGAAAAGTACCAGTTGTCAGTGATAGTTTCAGGATGGGCTGCCTTGCTGGCCAGGCACAGGAGAGAGTGCCAGTGCTGAGAAATGCTTGCTTTGTATTTCTTTCAGTTGTAACTGGCAGTGTTTGATAAGATATTTGTAAAACTGGGACAGAGAAGTCTTATCTATATATCCTATTTCTTTATCTGTCAGTGTTACAACATAACTTGTTCTGGTTTACTTCCCTGTGCCTGGTGTAGTTGGTGTTGGAAGTCCCTTGACTTCAAAGGAGCAGCTGAGTAAATGGGATTTGTAAATCACCCAAAGAGGTTTGCTACTGAAATACAGAATCAATTTTCCAAGTGCAGATTTACTCCAGAGCCACCACTGTAGGTGAGCAACTCTAGTTTAAAGGCTTGTTAAAAGTGAACTTTTCGTGTGATGAATCACAGTTGATGTTTGGAGATGGTGAGAATCTGCTCTCCAAAGGAACACAGTGCTTTCTACCTTGCAGGAAGATCCCATGTTCTGTGTGGAAATGCATCTCATGAAATTAAACTGAGGATACACTGCTAGGGAGCAGTTCTCTTTAACACATTAGAACATATTTACTGTCAATGAAAATTTATTATATTTTTGATTATGCTAAACTTCTTGGGCTTCATCCATCTGGGCTCGCTTTACATCCAAAGAAATCTTTCCATGAGCATCAGTGGAAGATTGATTTGTCCTTATATGCTATGAAATACAAACAGAATATTATTCCATTCAAAATAGGATCCTATTTTGTAGCACTGTGTACTGAGTAATTCTGGTACTCACCAACAGTAGCCTGGGGTCATGTCTATGAAATGAGAGAGTATCTATGAAGGGTGCACAGATTTCTGTCTCTTCTCTACCTCCTCAGAGCCACCACCATCCAAAGTTTGGAGTCTACAAATTCTTAATACTAACTTTAGTAGGGTTTGTAGGGCATTTAGCCTTTTGTGGGTTTTTTTCTTCTTCTTTCTGTTTTCTTTTTCTTTCTTGTGTGTGGTGTGAAGTCAACATGCTGAATTTTATTATTTCTGAAAGATAACAACTCTCTGAAAACCGCCCCAAGGCAAAATCATTGCAGCAAGGCAGCAGATTTCCCTTCAAGCAAAGCACTCCTTACCTGCACAGCCAAAATAATAAACTGTAATGTTTCTGGTTAACTTTTTCTATTTTATTTTAATGGGCTTTTGAAATCTCTGCTTCTAATAGGTTCTAGCAAGTTTGCTTGCAAGTTTTTACTTTGCCCTGCGAAGCGTGTGGTTCAACTAGAGAAAAAAAGGATTTGGTTGTATTGATTTGGCAGAGCCAGGAACAGAACCAGGTCTCCAAATTCCTGAATTTACAGCAGACCTGACTGGCTGTCAAGCACTGCCTGCATATACACACAGCTGTGGAACTTGTACTTAGTTGGGCATTCTGGCCTCTGCTCATCCCCTCTGACTGAGGGCATTTAACTGGGTCTCCATCAATCTGTCTCCGTGGACATTGATGAGCAGTTGAACACTCAGAGGCTGTAGCAGGACCAAAGGATGAAATAAATCCCTCAGAGATGCTTCTTTGTCTCCAGGACAACACAAACTCCTAGCTGAGACTTTTGGTTCCGTGCTTGGGTCTGGCTTTCCTCGTGAATGGGGCGTTTGCCGCTTGTGTAGAAATCTGAAGAAAGGCACCAAGGGCTGTTTCCACAGCGACTTGACTGGATGGCATGTGCTCACTAGCTAAAGAAACACTTCACATAACACTGAGAAATGCCAAGAGTCGCTCACCATCTGGCTCCCTTTCACTGGGGAAGAGCTGCAGTACAGCCAAGTGTCTGGGAGCATTGTGAGTGACACGTTCAGCAAGCCCCAGTTCTGGCAGGGGATTGTGTGAATGTGGGTTTCAGGGTAGTGCCAGTTGATGTTTCATTATGCCAGATTCTGCTTAAACTCCACACTCAGTTTTCAGCAACAAGTGAAGTAAGCTGAGCGTGTTGACAGCTTCTTTCTGAGGCAGGTAAACGCCTTTTGGAGGTGCAAACCATGCAGGTGCTCACGCAGTCATCTTTGTCAGGGTGAGATCTGCTCATCGACTTGAGCAGTGTCACACTTGAAAGGGAGCCTCAGCAGCTAATAAAATGTATAGGCCAGTATCAATTACTCACATGAGTGGACAGTAATTCACTTAAAGCCAATGGTTTACTAGTGGTATAGAACAGAAATAGCTAAAAATGAGTTCACGTATTTCTCATGAAGAGATGAAAATTTCTGGCCAAAAAAAAAAAAACCTGCTATAGGGAAATACAGCAGTGTTGCTAATTTCAGTCAGTTAATGTTAAAGGCATCAACCTCAAGTGCAGCCCCAGCAGTGGATTGTGGCTGTGGCTGAGTTTAATGGCATTCCTGGTGCTTCCCTTGCTGTCCCAGGAGCTGAGGCTGTGGTACTCCAAACAGCCCTTGTGCTGTAACCACTCCAGAAGCTGCTTCTCCTGTAATTCAGGACTGTGATTTCACTGCCTGACAATCCAGAGTCTTTCTGAGGAGCCTGGGTGAATTTCAGTAGTGAATTCACTACTCCTGTCTGCAGCTCAGTGTTGCACCCAGAAATTGAAGGAACCAAAATTCCTGTCAGTGTGCACAATGACAGAATAGCTCATATCTTCTTGGTAACATGAGTCTGCAGCCACGAGAAAAAGAGAAAAAAGAGACTTTGGCACTGAAACATGGAAACAAAAGGGTGTTATCAAGTGATACTGCCATTCTTATAAGGGCATACTTTTTCTTTGCTTTTCCTGGAAATAATTATTGAAAGAAAAAATAAAATATTTGCCTAGACAGTATCAAGGATACAAAGAGCAGTCCCATGTGACAGTGTTTTCTAGGCAGCAGCAAGGCTGCTATGCATTCAGATTCCTTAAAACTCTATTTGCTAATGACCCAGATGTTAAATGTGATTTACAATGACTGGAAAAAATAGAGTTCTGAAGTGGAACAGTGGGTGCTCAGTTTATGGATTAATAAAGGTACAGCCACTGTAGCCTCCCTAATTCCATACGAACTAGCAGTGAATATGTTTAAAATAGCCTTTTGAAAAATGCTGAAACCAAGCATGTATTTCTAAAGAGCTGACATAAAGCAAGCTTGGTATTTAGTGTTAATGAAAGGTTTGCCAAAGCACTGTGGTGGAGAGAGGAGCTGTGGGTTTGCTGTGC